GCGGGCAGAGGCTCCCTCGTGGCCACGACAGGCCTCTCCACCCTCCCGACTGGGCCCGGCGGCCGCCGCGCACCACATCTCCCCGCGCCCTTGCCGGGCCGAACACCCGGAGAGGCGCCGTTCTCCCCAACCCGCCGCTAGTAAACCGAGCCCAAAGGGCGACAAAGAGTCGGGCTCCGGGCCCCGCTCCGCCAGGCCGGCCCTGGCCCGCTCCCCGCCGGGACTCCAACAAAGCCCGAGCCGCTGCCTCGCGCCCCCGGCCTGGCTTACCCATCGGTCCCCGCACGCTTCTTGCCGGAGGGGTAATCCTCCCCCAGGTCCAACCGGTGCCGCTTGGACATCTTCAAGCGGGCGATTACGAAGGAAGTAAAAACGAGGAGCTGGCGGCCTGGGCGGCGCAGTCGACGGCAGCGACTTCACTCCGGAGGACCCCCACCCCTCCCGCTACAACAGCCTACACCGTGCGGCCGGAACCAGCAGCTAAAATGGCGGCGGCGACGAGGGCTGGGCCTGCGTGCGCGCTTCCGCAGCGGTGCGTGCGTGCGTGCGTGCTTGCGTGCGTGCGTGGTGAGCGCGCACGCACCGGAGGCGGGAAGTCCAGGCCCGCCCTCCCTGCTCCCCGCTGGCCTCCTGCTCCCGGCGTCTTAGGGCCCCTGCGCGGCTCCCGGGCCGGGCGCTCCCCGGCGGCCTTCACGGCGCCCTGGTTTGGGAAACGGAGAGGAAAATGATCAGCCCGAGTCAGGAACTCCTGAGCCCCTGTGTGTCCCTGGCATTAGGAGGGTCTGAGACTCAGAGAGGGTGAGAAGCCGGCCGAGATCACACCGCTGCGCAGAGCCCGATGGCAGCCCAGCTATCTCACCGGCCGGCGCTCAGCTGCCCTGGGAAAAGCGGATGAGAAAAATGTCAAAACCTGCTCTAATCCACTTTCTCTTCTTTTTTCCTTTTCACCCAAGGACAACATGCAACCAGTGTATTGATGTTTTTAAAATGAATTAATATGGAATGGAGAAAATTGGCAATAAGGACGTAATTAGCCCCCCCCCCATGCTTTTTTATACACTTCCGTGGTGTTAACTCTACCTCTAGCCTCTTTCTTACAGTAACCCTGCAAGATAAGTGTTATTTTATAGATGTGGACTCTAAGGCCGAGGGGGGTTGAGAAGTCACAGAGCCATTAGGGCTGTCCCTAAAGCCATAGCAAATTGGGGGGTTAAGATGACTTGTTACTCCCCTGCCCAGACCCTATCTGCTTGCTCAGTTGCATTCATCCTCAGGGAAAAATGCACAAGAGAAAGATCCGTGCACCAACCCAGGCTGGGCGGTCTACCTACTATGGGAAATGGATGTTCGGATGCCTGGGAAGACCATAGTCAAGCTCTTATCCAATCCTTAGAACTGCAATTGCTAAGGTTAAATACAAGCTTAGTATTGTAGCTGATAAAGTGTTGTTGTTTTTTAATCTTTGTACCAAATCTATATTCCAAATCAGCACAAAGGGAATAGCTTCCCTTTTAAAATATACAGTACAACTTTCTACCCTAAATGTACGTTAACAGTATATTGACTTTTTTCAGAGGTCATGATACATAATCACTGAGTTGTAAACCTAGAGAAGAGTTTCCAGCTGATTTTCTCTTTTTACGTCATTTTAAAATGAGTAAACCTGCCCGGCCGGGCGTGGCTCAGCGCTTGAGCATTGACCTAGGATTCAGGCGATCAGGGTTCGATTCCCGGTCAGGGCACGTGCCCAGGTTGCAGGCTCCATCCCCAGTCGGGGGCGTGCAGGAGGCCGCTGATCAATGACTCTCTCATTATTGACATTTCTCTCTCTCTCTCCCTCTCCTTTCCTCTCTCTGAAATCAATAAAGATATACTAAAAAAAAAAATGAGTAAACCTGAGCCCCAGGTCATGGCCAAGTTTATACAGCCAGTTAGTGCCAAAGTCAGAATTAAAATCCATATTTCACTCTATTCCAGGTTCCCAGTTTGAAAGCAACTATAAAGCACTCTAAAATTTTGGTGAAATAATGAGGAAAAAGGTTAGAATTCTACCTGTAGAAGTTCTCTACCCTTGGAAGTATCAGCCTCTCATAAGTGACAAAAAGACTTGGTAAAGGAGGAACTGAAGAGTTTCTCCTTGGGCCCAGTTCATATTCAAAGAAAGCTGTAACAGTGGTCCTTTCTGGAATCTACAAGGGGAACAAAGGGCCAGAATCTTCCAGAATGTTCACACTCCCTCTGAGGAAGGGCAGAGTTCTGGGTCTAGGTAATCCACCCTAGATTTTCAGATAGAATGGTCCCAAGAATAGAGAAGAGCTGTCCACCAGCCCCCCTNTAATCCACCCTAGATTTTCAGATAGAATGGTCCCAAGAATAGAGAAGAGCCGTCCACCAGCCCCCCCCCTACAGCATCACAGCCCAGTTTTTTCCTCTGTCTGATCCTACTTTCAGGTCTTCCTTTCCGCTGGTGTTGATCCTAAGTACTCCTGAATAAACTTCCTGTGCACTAACCTTTGTTTCAGATTCTACTTTCCATGGAACCCGACCTAAAAGCTTTGGTGCCAGGAATGGTCCAAGAAAGCAGACACTATGATTGGATTCTGGAGTGGGCTACCCACTGCTGGTTGAACATAGTTGCCACAAGAAAGCAGGGCGATTGTCAAAACTTTCACCGATGGTATACTGGGAAAGAACATGCACTGTCGTCAAAGTATGGAGGAAATAATAACTATAGGAATATTGGAATTTGATTATTGCTAAGGGGACTTGATTTTTTGGAGACAGATAATGAAAGTCTTAGAGTGATTAATCAGCAATTCAAAGCTAAGTGTGAAAGCCAGAAGGCCTCTAGGGGAGCATATAAACAGGTTCTCATCTCCTGCAGTGGGAAGACAAAGAAAACTCATGGCCATTCCCCCGATTTAAATATAACAGTAGCAGAAGGCCAAGTGGAAATTTCCAAAGAAGATTAAAATTTCCACATAGGCAGGCATGATATGTCAAGGTTAGGACCCTGGTTGGGAAAGATGGGCCTCTGACTCATGGAATGGTTGATAGACCTGAAAAATCTTAAATCCACCTGGTGAGCCTCCCAACATGCCCCACTCCTCCCTATTAAAAGCTAGCCCTCTTTTCTTGTGAGATAATCAAAGAACTCCTCTCTGCGGAATAAAATGAACCTTTCTTGCCAATGATATATCTGATAAGGGGTTAATTTCCAAAATATATAAAGTACTCATACAACTCAACAAAAGGAAGACAAACAACCCAATTAAAAAATGGGCAGCGGATCTGAATAGACGATTCTCCAAAGAGGACATACAAATGGGTGCAAATTAAACCGACAATGAGATACCACCTCACACCTGCCAGAATGGCTCCCATCAATAAGTTACAAACAAGTGATGGTGAAGATGTGGAGGAAAAGGGCCCGCTAGTGCACTGCTGGTGGGAATGCAGACTGGTGCAGCCACTATGGAAAACAGTGTGGAGTTTCCTCAAAGAATTAAAAATGGAACTGCCATTTGACCCAGTGATCCCACTTCTAGGAATATATCCTAAGAAGCCAGAAACACCAATCAGAAAGAACTTATGCACCCCGATGTTCATAGCAGTGCAATTTACAATAGCTAAGATCTGGAAACAGCACAAGTGCCTATCAGTAGATGAATGGGTTAAAAACTCTGGTACATTTACACAATGGAATACTATGCAACTGTAAAAAATAAGGATCTCTTACCCATTGCAACACCATGGAGGTACCTGGAGAGTATTATGCTAAGTGAAATAAGCCAGTCAGAGAAAGGACAAGTATCACATGATCGAACCTATGTATGGAATCTAATGACCAAAATAAACTGATGAACAAAAAAGATCCAGAGACATTGAAGCATGCCAGAGACTGACGTATTTCAGAGGGAAGGGGGCAATGAGAAGAAATTAACCAATGAATTTATATGCATATACACATAGCCCATGGACAGACATTAGTGCAGGGAAGACCTAGGACGGGAGTGGGGCAGAGGGGGTCAGTAGGGGGGCAAGGGAGACATCTGTAATACTTTCCATAATAAAGATAAATTTTTTAAAATGCACCTTTCTCAGGATTCACCCCCACTTCCCCTGCTGGCCACTAGGCAATAATTAGGTTTAAGTCACAACATAGGTTATTCCAGGGACTTCTGGAACTGATAATATTGAAAGATGACAACAAAGAAGCTGTAGAACTCTGCCAAGAGGTTCCAGTAGGTGCCAGGAAAGTCTGCATGGGACTGAATTCTGAAGGTTCTGGATAAAGAAGGGAGGGTGGAGTTGGAACATAAAGTTAAATAATGGAGAATCTATCAATTTGGGAGTACTATCACAAGATACAGGATTTCACATATAAAAGAAACCCAGGCGATGGTGTGAACACACTTAAGATGTCATCTAGAAGCATGGCAAAAGCAATTGCCCGCAGTGCACCAAGTTAAGTAAAAATGCCAGAACTGCTGTGATTGACAGTGTAAGAGGGGATTATAAAGCTCAAAGAAGTAAATGTGCTAGAGTGAAAATACTTACATAATGGTGGAAAACCGGGCAGATGAATATATTCCACAGGAAAGTTCAGAGGGTGTACCACTTTCCAAATCAGTAAGGAATCTTTTGGTGAGGGAGGTATCAACATGACTCAGAAATTCAGTGGTGGCTCTCCCTGTAGTCCAGTGCTGAAGACAGAAGATGACATTTCAGAACCAGGCTCCTTGAGAGCGGTAGAGATGATAGGGGTCTGTAACATAGAGGTCATATGGTGGCATTTAAACATCAGCAGCCAGGTGGATACTACAAGGTAGCAGTGTAGTCAAGGGGCCCTGTCTCACAGAGGTAACTAGAATGTAACCTCTAGGGCAAAATGGATGGTCAACCATCATACCAAGTTCTTAGTCTGAACAACCAAAGTAAGTTAAGAATCGATGATCAAAAGATTGAGAGCAGTTGCCTCAATGAAAACGTGCCCAGTTTCTGCACTTGAACCATGACAAAAACCAAATTCCACACACTAAGTAAAACAAAACAGAAAGATGCGTTCATTGCAAGGATTTTGACCTGCAAGCTGGGAAACTCAAGGCTACTGAAGCAATGAGTTATGAGTTGCTCAAAGACTAGTAAAGTATTTTTTATGGGACAAATGCAAAAGTTACTTGCCTTTTTAGTTGATTGGTTCCCTACTGGCTTCCTTCCTTATTTGGGTCAGAGTAGCTGAGTCAGAGGAGCAAGAAAGACCGGAGATGGCATGAACAGACTTGACATTTGGAAATTGGCTGGAGTCCTCTGCTGACTTCTGTGGAGAGCTGTAAATATCTGCAAATTATGGTAGGTAAGGCTGAGTTTCATTTTTCTTTAATACACCTGCATGGGCCAACTCCAGTTTGTCCCCAACACAACTCCATTTTAGTTTTAGTTCTACAACCAGTTTTTTGGACCTGGAATAAATTGATTAAAGGAGAAGTCATGTTCCTAGGAGCAAGTT